GTGCGTCGACCCCCCAGGGGCGCCGCGCGCACCGAGAAATCTTATAGTGTATGCGTCGTGGCGGGCGCTTTCTGACCACACCGCTCGGGAAACGATATACTACAATCTGGGTATACTACACGATCGGGTCGGACGCGCGCCTCCGAGGAAAACATATATAGTATTATTATGTTTCTGTGCGTCCCGTGTGGCTTCGGGCCGGTTCGCGCCCCTTCCCGAGTGGGCGGCGGACGCATCTGTACATATTGCGGGCCCGCCGGGAGAGGGGAGGAGCGAGGGGCGTGGGCGGGGGCTCGGGGACACAGGGGGGAAGGGGATGGGCAGTGCGGCCCCACGACACCCCCAGCGGCTTTCCAGGGGATCGTCGACAGCGCAGGGGTCGAACGCAGTTGCACAAACACCGGATCGAAGAAACTCTTGTGGCAGCAGAGTAGAAGGATGTAAACCACACAGCTTCGTTTCCATACGTGCTGTCCGTCCTGCCGGACGCCGGCCGGTGGCGCGTGAATCCGTCTGTGCGGTGCCGCTGTGCTTTGCAGGGTGCCCCTGGAGCACGAGCCACGCTCTCGCAAGCCAAGTGCCCTGGAGGCGGAGTGTTCCGTTGAAGCTTTCACGGCCTGCATATATAGCGATAGCGACGGCGAGGCAAGGTAAATCGTATAGCATCCTCCTTCTCCTCCTCCTCCTCCTCCTCCTCCTCCTCGTCCTCCTCCTCCTCCTTCTCTTCGTTTTTCACCAGTTCCTCCTCCTCCCCCGCCAGTGTCAGCGAGTCAGACCAGTTGCAGCCCGGAACATAGACATGCCGCCCAGCGAAGCGAACTAGTAGATAGCACCCGTTTCTTCTTCGCCGAGGGTCTCGCTTATTTACTTACCCCTCCTCTCCATCCCCCATTTTCGTCGTCCTCGTCGTCATCGTCGTTGTCCTCGTCGTCTTCGTCTTCCTTGTCCTCCTTCTCCGCCTGCTTGTCCGCCTCCTCCTCCTCCTCCCTCTCCTCATCCTCCTCCTTCTCTTCTTCCTCCTCGCTTTTCCCCTCTCCCTCTCCTCCCTTCCCTCCTCGTCCTCGTCGTCCTCCTCCCCTTCTCCTCCACTGCAATGACACCATGTGAATACCATTCTCCTCCCACCCCCGAGTATGTGCTGGGAGTGTTTGCGCCCTCTCCCTCCGCGCTGTCATTCTTTACAAATGATGTGGGCGAATTGGTATTTCTTATGTGGCGGTTTGTTTTCTGATCGTTCGGGTCCATCAAACACTGCGCTCCGGTTGCAATGCTGGCCTCGTTCCCGCGTGTTCTGTCCTTCCGACTGGTGTTCCCGCTGCAGCGTTGGTCTCAGTTCCACGTGTTCGGTCCTTCCAGATCCCGCTGCAGCTTAAGCGTCATTTCCGCGCGTTCGGTCCTTCAAAATGGTGCTCCCGCTGCAGCAGTGGCCTCATCTCCAAATTGTCGGTCCTCTCGGATGGTTTTCCGGTTGCACCGTTTTGCAGCCACGGTGAACAGTTCAACACGATGTTATGTACCGCTGCTATGAAACGATTCCACGCCTTGTTCTGCGATGCTGTGGTATGCAACGATGGGCTACGCAGTGCCATGCAATGCGATGTTATGGACCGCTATGCGATGCTGTTGCTTGCGTTGCAATGCTATGCTATGCAAAGTGTGACAACGCGGTGCCATTCCATGCTATGCATCGCGTACCCTTTCTGGATCGCTGCCCCCTTCGGCATCCTAGTGTGCTAGCAGGGAGGGGCTCTACGCCTGGTAAGGGGTGGGAGGAATGTGTATGACGTCAGACATGACGCGAGTGTACCTAGCTTGCCTTGCACCCCCCCTCCTCCTCCTCCTCCACCTCCTCCTCCTCCACCTCCTCCTCCTCCTCCTCCTCCACCTCCTCCTCCTCCTCCTCCTCCTCCTCCTCCTCCTCCTCCTCCTCCTCCCCTTCCCTGGCCCTCGGCCGCCGCGGCTCCCACCCCTGACCCCTGGGCGGCGCCGCCCAGCGCCCCGCCAGGGTGCGGACCCCAAGGAGCCGGCCCCGTCTCGTGGCCGCACCCCCCCGCCGTGCCCGCGCGGGGCTGGGAGGAGGACGAGGACGAGGAGGACGGCGAGGAGGAGGAGGAGGAGGAGGAGGAGGAGGATGAGGAGGAGGAGGAGGAGAGGGTGAAGGGGGGTGGAGCAGCAGGAGGACCATTTCGTGGGTGGGACGAGATGCTGAAGGGGGACGGAGCAGCAGGAGGACCATTACGTGGGTGACGTCGTGGTTTGCGCAAGGAGTCTCTCGTAAGAGGGGCCCGAGCGGGGTGGGGGCACTGACCGTGCGTTCCGGTCTCGGATGATGAGACGAGTTGCACACGCACTCTTCGTGTGGCAGTCTTTACAAAAGGGTTTTGTTTCTGGCGAAGTACAGAACCTGATGTGGTGTACAACAGGATTCCCGCTGTGGTGGAGTACGAGAGGATCCTTATCGATATAAGTGTTTGTTGGTGATCGTACACGGGGACCGTCTTTGTGGCGGATTACGAAACTAATTCATAGTGTGGATTCTCTTGTTGTGAGTTGCAGAGAGAGTCTTGTTGTGGCGAGCCTCCAGAACAGAATACCCTTCAAGTGGCGCATCGCAAAACATGCCATGCGCGGCGGATTGCAAGACGATTGCTTATGGCGGAATACTGTATTGTGTGCGCGCAGATGTCACATGGATTCCTTCTGTTGGTCTCCCGAGTAGTGACCCAGGTCCCCCCAAACAACAAACGAATATAGAAACACATGTGTAGATGTACGTGCGTCTATATTTATATGTAAAGATCTATGTATGGAGAAACATCCACTTATATCTATACGAAGTTGCACACACCGAGAGACCTATCATCCGCCACCGTGCCGCGAGGCACAAGTTGGTGAGTTCAGGTCCCCCGAGTCCTCAGCACTGAATGATCGAAACAGTAAGGCACTTTGGCAAAAACATAAGCGTATACATAGATACGCACATATGTGTAATTATCTATGTAGATATACATACCTGTACGTTTGTTTATAAACATGTATCTACAAAGACCTCAACGTTCGCTGGCTACTGCGGACCCGACATGGATATGGCGTGATGCTGTGCCCTCGCGTGGTGTTCGCAGGCTGCTGTATGCAACACTGCCGGGGGGGGCGGTTTCCCTCGCCGCCTGGTGGTGGACACAAGCGCACGGTGGTGCTCATGGGCATGCTGTGGCGCCATCGCAATATTCACAGGAGGGGGAGAAGCAAGAGCATGAGAAACGACGACGATGAGGAGGGAAAAGGGATGCCGTAAGCGGCATCAGGTGGATGAAGTAGGAGGGGAGAGGAGGGGAGAGGGAGGAGTAGGAGGAGTAGGAGGAGGAGGAGGAGGAGGAGGAGGAGGAGGAGGAGGAAGGAAGGAGGAGGAGCAGGAGAGGGAGCAGGAAGAGGAGGAGGACGAGGAGAAGGAGGAGGAGGATGTGGCGGAAGTGGAGGAGGACGGAGGAGGAGGCGGAAGCAAGGAGGAGGGGCACGACGAGGAAGAAGGAGGAGGAAGAGGGCGGAGGGAGGAGGGATGAGGACGAGGACGAGGACGAGGACGACCTGTAGGAAGAGGAGGACCATGATGATGATGAGGACGGAGGAGGAGGAGGAGGAGGAGGTGGACGAAGACGACGACTAGGGAGGAGCAATGAGGCAGAGGGAGGAACGAGGCGGAGGGAGGACGATGGTGACAACGACGAATAAGGAGAGGAGGAGGGCGAGGAGGAGCATGAGGAGGAGGAGGACGACGACGAGGAGGAAGGGCAACGACGACGACCACAAGGACGACTACGAGGAATGATGGCCAACGGTGGCGAGGAGGGAAGAGGAGGCGGACGACGACGAAACAGAAGGGAGGTAAGGCAGGCTTTTGGGTGGTGCTCCCAGGCAGAGGGGTGTGCTCGCCGGTCACGATGACACCTGTCTGGTATACCCATCGGTTGTTGAAAGGAGGCATGTTTGGAGTCGCATGTTCCAGTATACTTTACCTTCCTACTTCAATGATCGAACACTTCTCAGAAGGCGAGGGACACTTCTCAGAAGGCGAGGGGAGTTCCGAGCCTTCTGAGAAGGCCCGCCCCTTCTCTCTTCCCCCCCGGGCGCGCCGCCGAATCCCCCCCGAGCCCACCCCACTGCGATGCCTCCGAGGGCCGCAGCGCCTCCGGGGGGGGCCCGCCATCTCAGGTGCCTGCCTGGTCCTTCCCCCAGGGGGAGGGGAGGAGGAGGAGGAGGAGGAGGAGGCGGAGGAGGAGGAGAATGAGGAGGAGGAGACAGAGGAGGAGGAGGAGGAGGAGGAGGCGGACGAGGAGGATAAAGAGGAGGATGAGGAGGACGAAGGACAGAACACGGCACAATCATAATTTCTCGGGGTCCGCGCGGAATTCTTGGATCGGCGCCAGGGCCCTTCTGGCGGCGCCTCTGGCCCCGCCCCGGGTGTGCTCCACGGAAGTTTATGTTTGCGGCGCGTTTTTTTTTCCTCCAGTGAAGGGGAGGGGGAATTGTTTCGTGGTCACGCTGTACGCTCGAAAGTGGTGAACAATAATGGGCAGAGACAGATGAGGAGGATCCAGGAAACGATGACGAGGAACAGGAACTGGAGGAGGAGGAGGAGGAGGAGGAGGACGACGACGAGAGGTAGTGGCACGATAACGGGGAGTGAGAGGGGCGAGGGGGAGGGGGAGGAAGGCAGAGGGGGGACGGGGGTGGGCGATGCGGGACAAGGGGGAGGGACGGGGGAGGGGGAGAGGGGGAGGTTGCTTGAGGGTGAGGGTTGGAAGGCGATTGGAACGACGCACTGAGAGAAGCAAGACGAGAGACGCGAGAGATGGGGACAAGTGTTTGATCTCTTACAGGAGGAGGAGGAGGAAGAGGAGGAGGAGGAGGAGGAGGAGAACTATATAGTGCGAGGGGGTGGGGGAGGGGAGGCAGCTGCGCGGTGCCTTCCACTCTTTCGCTCCGTCGCGGCGCTGCCGCAGGAGCACAGAGGCCCGACCACGGACACGGACACGCGCCAGAGCCGCATCAGGGTCATGAGAGAGATCGTAGCAGGCCTCGGCATCGAGGGATCGGAGAGCGACTGGGGCCCGATATACGAGGATCAGGGCTCTTTCGTCGAGCGCGTGTGCCAGCACACCACTAACATCAACTTGGACAGCCTCTTGACGAAGTACGTCGGCGATCGCCCCAAGGGCAGCACGAAGCCCGACAAGGTCCACCAGCTCCTCACAGCAGCGCAGGAGTCAAGCGCATCAGGGGGGTCTGGCCAAACCAGGAGGCGCTCGCTCAGACCTGCCGGGATGAGGAAGATCAGGGTGGAAGGGCGGGGGAGGAGGAGGGGAAAGAGGGCGAGGAAGAGAGAGGACTATTGATAGGCAGGGGAGGAGGACGGGGGATAGGTGGGGAAGGGGGAGGAGGAGGAGGAGGAGGAGGAGGAGGAGGAGGAGGAGGAGGAGGAGGAGGAGGAGGAGGAGACGGAGAAGGAGAAGGAGAAGGAGAAGGAGGAGGTTGGGGAGGAAGGAGGAGGAGGAGCAGAATGTCGGCGGGGCGTGCGGGCAGGGGGAAGGAGGAGTAGGAGGACGAGGAGGAGGAGGAGGAGGAGGAGGAGGAGGAGGAGGAGGAGGAGATGTGTGCAGGGGAGAAGGAGGGAAGAGGACGAGTCAGGTGGGGACATGCAGGGCACATGGGGTGTTTGGTGGATTTGCGGGTCGGCAGATCGACTACTGCAACAGCAGAAGCAATCGCTCGGCGGTGCCCGACTGCTCTTCCTGTCCTTGGCTCGCTCCGGCAAGGCCGCCGTCCTGCACTCATGCGACGGGGCTTCAAGAGCATCCCAAGACTGTCTGGGAGTGGCACCTTGCTGGTCTGTAGAAGAGCCGTTCGAAAGTCAGCCTCCGCGTCCACTCGCTGAAACGGTAACGCCCGATCAATGTTGCACCTCGGGAGGGGACAGAGAGGGGGATGACTGGAGGGGTTGTCAAGAGATGTACACGGAGGAGGGTTAGGTGGATTCCACTGCTTTCTCGGAGGCTGCACCAGGCGAATGCAACACATTTTTGGTGTGTCAGTTCTCGTAGCAGCCATGATTCAGACGAGTGTAACATCGTGGGGTTACTTTTTGCGTCCGTGTCCCGATTCCACTCGTTACAAGGGGGAATATCTACAGGATAAGTGCAGTATGGCATGGTTGTTTTCCAACATACCGCAAAAGAGTGCCCAGCAGACGCATGCACCAAGTCGTCTGTTGTTTAAGCGCCTGCTTCGTCACAGGCGTAACGCAAAAGAAGGATCGAGGTCCAGAAGCAGGCGGGGGCTGAATTTCATGTACGGAGCGCCCATGGACGGAGCGCTGGGGAATTGCCCCGCTCAGTACACGCTATGGCTTGGAGTTGCCTTATCAGTAAAGCGATGGTGTTCAACGAAGAAGGAAGGGAGGAGGAGGAGGAAGGGGAAGAGGAACATGATTAGGATGATGATAGTGATGAGGATGATGCTGATGATGATGATAATGAGGAGGAGGAGGAGGAGGAGGAGGAGGAGGAGGAGGAGGAGGAGGAGGAGGAGGATGAGAGGGGAGGGGGAGAAGGAAGGGCGAGTGGACGAAGGGGGGCAGCCGTGGGGGAGAGGGGAAGGTGATAGTGACAAACGGGGGTCGATGGACATGGGAAGGGGAGGGGGGGAGGGGAGGGCAGAATGGGCGAAGAGGAGAAGAGGAGGGGGAGGCGGGGAGGGTGTATAGCTGTGCCCAGGGAGGGAGACGTGGGGGTGATGCCTGGAGCTGGGCGCAACAGCCATGTACCACACACCATCTGGATACACACGATTCCGCGCCTGCCGGCACACGCAGAAACAAGCATCATCGAATTGGTATGATGTTCGATTGGCTTCGTCCATCGCAGGAATGGGTAGCGATGTTGGGAGCGGCGGCTGGGGTGGAAAAACCCTGGGAACAACGTAACGCGCCCCCTTATTACCCCTAGCATTCACAAGACGTGCGTAAGGAATTCTGAAGGGGGGGAATCGCCGAGCGATATCGCCAGCACCCAGAACGGTTATCTAATGACATAGCTGCTCGGGGAGAGGCGGTGGTGGGAGTAAGGCCAGCAAGACAGCTCAACAGAGGCCTCAATAGTCTCGCAGACAGGCCAACTCCCCGAGACAGGCCAGAGACAGTCTAAACGTACTATCGAATTCAATCCAACATCATTGAACGTTCGAACACCGTTGAGCTTATAGGGGTACCATCGACAGACCATCGATCGCACCTCCATCCTCGATCGAAGCTCCATCCTCGATCATGAGACTCCCAGAGATCCTTTTCGCTCTGAGAGACTCCCCATCAACGCCTCAACTTTAGGCGCTGATAACAACTATTGCAGATGCTGAACTAAGGTTACCAGGCCGAACGAACGTTTGCAGCGTTGCTAAGGATTCCTGAGGGATTCGCGAGGCATCCGTGAGGATCCTCACGGGATTCCTGAATGAGGCCTGGGGGATGCGCAAGGGTTCCTGCGGGATTCGCGACGGATCCCTAAGGAATCCGCGAGGATTCTTCAGGGATTCTTTAGTTAGGACGCCTGAGAGGATCTGAGAAACGCCTCCTCATCCTCCCCTTCCTCCGCCCGCCCCGCGCAGAATTCTCCAACGCCCGCCCGTAGGTGTTTTGATGTTCCTCGGCTGTCCCGAAGGGTTTCTTTCCCCAGGGATATCACCCACATTGCACCGCCAGCTTTATTCAGCACCAGTAATCCAAACTCTCCCCCATTTCCCTCTCCCCGGAAGCAGTGGTAGGAGTCACGTTGTCGACGACATACGACAAGGGTGGATGGGTGGATTCTTCTCACAGTGGGAATCTCGCTTGAGTAAGCCTCCTTTGCTCAGGTGATACGGGCAGAAACTCAACCTCAGCGTCGACGTTGAACCCCCACGTCGGCCTGAATCCTTTACTTTGCACCGCGTAGATGTGGCCGCTTAGATTGCACCCGATAGCTGTTCTAGATATATCCAGCGTGCACCACGGAGGTTGCACCACCTAGCTTGCACAGTATAGCTTGCACCACAACGCTTGTTTTGCTTAGCTTGCACCACGCCTATTGCACCCTGCACCACATGGCTCCCGAGCCCCACAAACTCCTAATACATTGCGTGGCGTCACAGTTCTTGACTCACTTTATCAAACTGAGCCCTAGTGGGGAGTCCTATGGCGTTGTGCAATGGGAGGAGTCCTGTGAGAGGGAAGTTCTACAGTGGAGGTCCGATGGGGGAACACTAGCTAACTAGGAGGGGTCATACGAGATAGCTTGATTGTTGGGGGGTCCTACGGTGAAGGTCCCATGGAGGGAGTTCGACGGGGGAATCCAATGGAGGACTCCTTTGGTGGAGTCCCATCGTGGAGCTCTACTGGGTTCCGATCCTACTGGGATCCTTTTTGAATCATGCCAGACTCCGATCGGTATCCGATTAGGATAGTATTGGGTTTGTGATGCAACTTTCTCAGGCTCTCATTGGAATCTGGTTCGGCCCTCGGTGGGATGCCGCACTGAGGGGCCCGGGGGCTGGATCTCGCCTCCAGGGGCGAGAAGGGGATATCATTTCCAAGGGCATGGTGGGGGTCGCTAGTTGGTTCCCAGGGTTAGCCTAGCCACAACGCAGTGCAACTTGCTCGCTCGCTCCCCAGACCCTCGACGCCATGACTCGCTCATAACGTGGGCCCACCAGAGGTCCAGGCCCCCTCCCAGGGGCAGGCCTTTCGTCACGAGTCTTTCGGTTGGCGGTCCGGGGTCCCAGCGAGGGCCTGGAGGCCGCAGATGGCAAAACTCGTCTGTCGTGCTTTCTTGTTCGCATGGCGCGAGCGGGGGGTTTGGCTTGTCGCAGCCCGGCAGGAGAAGGCCGACAAGGAACAGCGGAACAAGCGCATCAAGGCCATGAGGAAGCTCGTGGCGGGTCTCAACATCGAGGGGTCGGAGAGCTGG